TGACCCAGAGATCAAGAATCACATGCTCTACTGACTGAGCCAGCCAGATGCCCCTAAAAATTTCTCTTTTAATTTAAATAAAGCTGACATAATAATGTTGCATTAGTCTGAGGTAGAAAACAGAATTTTGGATAAACAACTTTTTAGTAAAAGTATGCCCCAAATATCACATGGGACAGACTTATACTTAAAAAATGATTTGTGGGTTGCCTGGCTGTCTCAGTCTGTGGAGCATGCAACTCTTGATCTCGGGGTGGTGAGTTTGAGCCCCACGTTGGGTGTAGAGATTACTTAAAAATAAAATCTTAAAAAAAAAATTGTTTACCTGAAATTTGAATTTCACGGGGCTTCCTGCATTTTTATTTGCTAAATCTGGCAACCTCATTCACAAGGTACATCTCCTGAGGCCACTCTGTTGGTCAGATGAATTTGATGACAGCCCCTGGGGGAGGATGCCCTGGTGTCAGGACCCAGTTAGTGTTCTGAAATGCCTTAGCAGATTATCACTCAGCAAGGCTGGGACTAGAAACACATGCAGTCACTCTCGTTGTTGGTGTTTGACTTTTTTTTTTTTTTTAAGATTGTATTTTTGGGGTGCCTGGGTGGCTCAATCGGTTAAACATCTGACTCTTGGTTTTGGCTCAGGTCATGATCTCAGGGTCGTGGGATCGAGCCCCACATTGGGCTCCCTGCTCATCGGGGGGAGTCTGCCTCTCCCTCTCCCTCTGCCTCTCCCCCTGCTCAAGCTCTCTCTGTCTCTCAAGTAAATAAATAAAATCTTTAAAAAAAAAAAAAAAAGAACGGGGGCGCCTGGGAGGCTCAGTCGTTAAGCGCCTGCCTTCGGCTCAGGTCATGATCCCAGGGTCCTGGGATCGAGCCCCGCATCGGGCTCCCTGCTCGGCGGGAAGCCTGCTTCTCCCTCCCCCACTCCCCCTGCTTATGTTCCCTCTCTCGCTGTGTCTCCCTCTGTCAAATAAATAAATAAAATCTTTAAAAAAAAAAAAAGAACGGAATGTTATATTACCGGCACCCCAGAAGCCCCCCTTGGATAGCCACTGCCTCCAACACGTAGAACAGAATCCATGGACTCAGAACTGCTCTCGTCTGGGGGCTTCTTTCATTCCCTGTGCCATGTGTCCTCATGGTCGTTTGCTCTCACAGCTGGATGATCCTCCATTTTGTGTCTATTCCATAATCCCTTACCGCCAATGGTCATTTGGGCTGTTTCCAGCTGGGGAACCTTCTAGCTCTATTGGTGTTTGAGTGGGGATTGCTGGTCCCAGGGCATGAGTCCAGCTTTAGCGGGTGCTTCGAAGTCTTCCAAAGTGGCCGCCGCACCCCCTTGGGGTTATTTAAGTACCTCAGTGTAATGGCAGGTGTGGGAGACTAGGCAGGGTACCGGGGGGATGGGAGGAGGGTGTGAGTTGCTAAGGACCTCTTGCTTGTTTGGGTTGGTTTTTGCTACAGGGGACCAGCTGGTACGCAGGAGGATTTGACTCTCACTTCTGGATCTGGGGATTTTCTCCAGAGCACTCTGGAAAGAGGTATGCTTGGTTGCATCCATGGAGGAGGTAATTTATGAGGGCAGGATGTAGAGGGGTTTGTCTGGTGATCAGGGGCTTGCCTCCGTCTACACAGCAAGGTCCGAATACTGCCTGCCTCTCCAGTCTCTCTGGCTCCAGTAGACGACACATCCTAAGAGCCAGATTTGGGCATCCCCTCCCAAGGCCGATGGGTCACTCACTGGCTCCCCCCTGCTTTGGTAGACCCTGACTTGAGGATACAGTCTGATGATTGGTAGAACTGTGAAGACGTGTCCCGGCCATTTGGAAAATCCACGGGGCCTAACAGCCCTGGTGGGAACAGCGTGATGCTTGGAGACATACATGCGGTTGCCTCTCCTGCCCCGCTACGACTTGCTGGGAGGCTCTAAGCAGGTAATTCAGCCTCTCTGAGCCTCGGTGTCCTCTGTAAAATGGGGTTAATATTCACTGGGCTCTCATGTGGGTTAAAGGATATTCTTTCCTGAGGCTCAGCCCATAGCAAGGGCTGCAAATGGTAGCGCTCTTGGGCTACAGGGGCTGGAAGGACACTCCGAGCTGAGCGTGTCCAAGCATCCGGAGCACAAAGGGTGAATGCCCGGCCCAGCCAGGCAAAGCCGGAACAGGGATTAGAGCTGGACCCCTGAGGTTTAGCCCTGTGCTCTTCCCCCGGATTCTGGGCCCTCGATCAATCACTTAATCCCCTGCGCATCCAGTGTGTCACACCGATGTTTGACCCTCCGCAGGCAGGGTCACAGCCTGCTGGTTTTGTCCTGCTGGCGTAACATGGGGGCGGGGCGGGGGTTATAAATCTGGGAGCACATCACCTGTCCCCCAGCGACACCCACTGCAGCAGCCACGCAGCCCGGAGTCCCAGGCTTCCCTGGCTCCCGCGCCTGCAGACTACCTCCAGCGTGAGTGGCTCTGCGGTGGGAACGTTGGGCCCCTGCTCAGAGTCCTGGTACGTGCGCCTCCCCATCCCACCCTCCCACCCCTGGCTCCCGGCCTTTAGGAACAGGAGCTACTCTGCTTGGGGCTTCTGGGCATAGGGAGGAAAAGTGGAGGAGGGAGGGCAAGGCAAATATGGAAGAATCTGCAAGAGCATCATGGGAGATACAAAGTGCCATAGGGACATAGTCAGATGCCCTCCTGGCCCGCTCCTCCCTACCTCCTCAGACTCCCCCGATCCTCCCGACGCCGTCATGTGTGCGTGGTCCAGTCTGAGGCCATCTGAGTAAACGGGAAGGCTCCTTGAGGACCCACTTTGATTAAGGGTCTTTTTCTCCAGGGCCTACAGCTGACGCTGCCTAAAAAGCTGCAGCCTTAGCATCCTACACCCAAAGAACTGGCAAGTCCCCTTCTGGGCAGGTGAGTCAGACCGACCCACCCCGCTCATCGTTGTGCTAGACGTGGTCGGTGGTCACCCCTCCCACCTCGGGCGGCAAGCCGTGTTGGGGTGCCTTGGGCTCCATGGGGCCCTGCCCACCCCTCCCACTGCCTCCTGGGACCTAGATGTACCTGGAGGGCAGTGAGGCCAGGATCTGGAGGTTTGGAAGGGCTGCTCTGCGGGTACTTCTGGCTGCGAGGGAGAGATGGGGAGACGGCACCAACATTTACAGCCCCCAGAATCCGCACTGGGACTCGCTTACAAAAGAGGCAAGGTGCACCGTCACCCTGGCCTGCCCCTATTGGAGTTGGGGACCATACCCCTGACCCTCACTCCTCTCCAACAGGTGCTGGGAGGGCCCTTTTAGGCGACGAAGGCCGCTTCTGAAGTTGGGGCATCCCAAGGAGGCACCAGCAGCCAAGATGTCCGCACAGAGCACTGACGACCTGGAGCCCAAGGCCTTGGACCTGCAGCCTGGGATCCCAGAGGCCCCAACCCACCGGCAGAAGCGGCGCCACACGCTTCCCGCCAGTGAGTTCCGCTGCCTCACTCCGGAGGACGCTGCCAGCGTGTTTGAGATCGAGCGCGAAGGTGAGCGGGCCCCGCAGCTGCCCTGTGGGGAGGAGCCCCTGTCCTTGGTGGCTGGGTCCCCAGAGGATCAGACTGGAGGTGTATTTCTGTGTGTGCGCAGGCATGCATGTTCAGGAAAGCGGGGATGGGAACAGCCCCGAATCCCGTTTTCTTGTGGGCGAGGGCGGGTGTGGGGGGGGCGGTGGGAGACCCCACCTGGGCTTCTGAGCAGATGCTTGGTGTGCAGTGGCCAGTGGCATGTGGCGTGGTGACCACTGAGTCACCTGCCGTGCCTCCTCCTGCAGCCTTCATCTCCGTCTTGGGCATCTGCCCCTTGTATCTGGATGAGGTCAAGCACTTCCTGACCCTGTGTCCAGAGCTGTCCCTGGGCTGGTTCCAGGAGGGCTGCCTCGTGGCCTTCATCATCGGCTCACTTTGGGACCAGGAGAGACTCACTCAGGTGAGGGCAGGATGGGGCGGGGACGCTCGGCCGCTGGAAAGCCTCTGGAAGGGGGGCTGTCTCCCCCAGGCCCTGGCTTCTCCTGCTCAGATGGAGGCAGAGGAGGCCAGGGGCTGGAGTTTCTTCCTCTGGTCCTCTCCCGGGTCAAAAGGACTCACCTCTTTGGGGCTCAAAGGCCTTCATGAAGGGTCCTCCATGGGGTGGAGGGTAGAGTTCCCAATCTGGGGCCCTCCACGGCTGGGAAGGGAGCCCCGCCTGCAGGCACTCGGGAGACACTTGCTCTTGGCCGGGCGGGGGCAGTTTGGGAGGCAGGTGTGGGCCGAGCTGGACCTGGACTCACAGCCCTGCTTGTTTCCAGGAGTCACTGACGCTGCACCGGCCCGGGGGCCACACTGTCCACCTGCACGTGCTGGCCGTGCACCGCGCTTGCCGGAGGCAGGGCAAGGGCTCCACGCTGATGCGGCGTTATCTGCAGCACGTGGGCGGTCAGCGAGCGGCGCGCCGGGCCGTGCTCATGTGTGAGGACGGGCTGGTGCCCTTCTACCAGAGGCTCGGCTTCCGCCTCACGGGCCCGTGCGCCATCACCCTGGGCTCGCTCACCTTCATGGAGCTCCAGTGCTCCACGCGAGGCCACGGCTCCCTGCGTCGGAACAGCGGCTGCTGACGCCTGCCGTCCCCACGGTGCCCACAGCCACCCGGCCCCGGTGTCCCCTTCTCTCCCCAGCCCAGGCTGGATGCCCAACCGTGCCAGAGGTGGGGCTGGGTTGGTAACTGGGGACGGCAGGAGGTGTCCTGCGACCCGCCTCGGTGACCCCGTCGTTCTCAGGAACCGATGGTGGACCCTCTGGGCAGGCGGCCTCCTCGCCTCATGCGAGGTGCCTGGTGCTCAGGCCCTTATTCTCCCCGGCCTCAGGGATTTCCCTTCTTGTCCTCAGCCCCAGAATGGGGGGTAGCTGGGAGCAGGGAAGTGCAGGGGCTACCTCCCAGCTCCCCCCATGTGCCCCCCACCCCTCGCCTCGGACACCCTGGGTCCTCTTCCCTCTAATAAAATAGTTGTGCTTCATAACCTCCTGCGGCTTCTTGTGTGGGGTGAGGGTTGCGGGTGAGGCACAGTGAAGGGATGAGGTCTGTGCCTTCCCCCCGCCGCCGTCTCTGCCGGGAAAGCCAGCCCCTCACTGCCCCTGGGGTCCAAGGATTTGACCCGGCCCTCTCAAGGGACCCCCTGAGGCTTTCCAAGGGGCCCCAAACCTGGCTTCCGGTCCAACCAAATGCCCCACAAGTTTTCCACCGTCCCTTTGGGCCAAGGCCCTGCCCTTGAGCTCACGGCTGACCCCCCACCAACAAAAAAAAAGTCCCAGCTTTCCCTCTGCCAGAGCCCCTCAGGTCAAAAAATGATACTTTTAGAGAATATCATTTAATACATTCGAGACATCATCCATATAAAGTTAGCGTTACTTTTAAAAATTAGAACCATAATATAAACCAGTAAAAAATGGGCCTGGCTGAGCCTTGGGCAACCCCTGGGAGCAGGTCCTTGAGGTGGCCCAGCCCCCACCCCCACTTGGGCAGGAGTGAGGCAGAGTGGGGTAGGGCCGGCCTTCTCAGAGCCAGCCCCACAAGGCAGAACACTGACTCAGAGGGAGGGCCAGGACAGACAGAGAGGGGACAGCCTCTGTTTGCGACCATCAAGTGGAGGCTCTCAGCTTCCCAGCCTCGCTGTGTCTCCATGCTCTTTCTCTGCCCCAGGCCACGGCAAAGCCTTTCCCACACGTCTGGTCCAGGAGCATTAAGGGCAGGCTCACCAGGCCACTGCTGGATAAGGGGCACGGGCTCACAGGGCAGGGAGGGGAGGCCTCGGTGAGGCAGGGGTGGGAACCTGGTGGGAACCCTGGCCACGTCCCAGTAAGGGCACGGCCACAGTAATGGGGTGGGGGGGGGGCGGGGGGGGCAGGCCCCAGCTGGGGCTGAGTGGGGAGATCGGCAAAGCCGGGGACCTTGGGAAGGAGAGAAGCCCACCCCTCGGCAGGGGTCCTGCCGGCAGGGGAGCAGCAGGAAGGCAGGGTCCGAGTCCCGGCGCTGGGGAGAAGCACATGCTCGGAGGGCCCCCCAGACTGAGGAAGGGGGGCCTCACTCCCCCAAGGACCTCGCCTTTGTGACTGTCACCGCGGGGTCAGTGTGGCTGGTGGGGGGAGGGCCGGGGCCCCCAGAGGCGGGTCTCTGGAGCGCGGGCTGGGGCGCTCTGCAAACAGGCAGCCTGTCCAGGCCTGCCTGGCGGGGGTCAGTGCAGCACCTGGTCCAGCTCGTACTTCTCGCAGAAGCGGCTGGTGAAGGGGAAGCAGGTGAGGTACTCGATCCAGGGCCAGTTGATGGGGTAGACGTACAGCCAGATGACCAGAGAGGCGAAGAGGCCGGCGAAGACCAGCAGCGACACCAGGATGAGGGCCCGCTTGCGGTACTTGTCGCTGGTGCCGAAGGTGATGTAGGGCAGGAAGGCGAAGGCCAGCAGCAGGCCGCTGAGGAAGCCGAAGATGTGGGCGATGTTGTCGATCCAGGGCAGGAGGCCGCAGATGAACAGGAAGAGCACGATGGCCGACAGGTTCAGGAAGGCCTTCCAGGGCCGCTCCAGCAGCTGCCAGCTCTGGAAGAGCTCCACGAAGAGGCAGGCGAGGAGGCCAAACTGCGAACCTGCTGGGCCCACCTGGGGCGGGGAGGGGAGCGGCGTCAGCCCGGGGTGCCAGGTGCGAAGCCGGGGCGCAGCCGGGTCCTCCTACGGGCGGGCTCTCCCAGGGGTGGGGAGCCGGCAGCTGAGGCTCCTGGACCAAAGTGGGGCCTGTGGCACCAACCCTTTCTGCAAACACTGAGGACCAACTACGTGCCCAGTGTTTAGTCTGTGCAGTAAGCAGGACAGACAGGCCTACGCCAGGCAGCATACGGCAGGATGGACAGACACCGAACAAGCCAAGGGCATGGGGTCGAATCAATGGAAAAACTGTCACTGTTTCTGTGGGTCATGAATGTTTGCACCCTGGAGATTTCATGCAGCTCAACCCACAGCTATGTGACTTGCAGGTAGGCAGGCAAGGGTCACGGTCACGAAGAGAAATGAAGCAGAGAAGGGGAACAAAGGGAGGGACAGGGTCTGGGGAAGTCTTTCTGGAGGTGATGCCTGAGCATGACGCAGAAGCATCGCTGTTTCCTTGCTCCCAGGGATTAGGGGATCAGCTAATAAGCCCACAGCTTAGCTGTCCATCTGCTGTCGAGCCTGGCCCGGGCGGGGCCGTGTGTCCCTCTGGCGGCTCCGGGGGGGGGGGAAGGGGCGGGAAGCAGCAGAGCTGGCCCTCCTCCCTGCCCCGTCCCCCGAGTCCCTACCTCCGCCCGGTACGGGAGGAAGATGGCGCTGGCGAGGTTGCCGGTGATGCCACTGAGGATGAAAATGATGGAGATGCGGTGCCAGCCGGCCAGCTTCTCCAGGTCCCGAAGGATGGTCATCTGGAAGACCACGGACACGAGGCAGTGCACCACGCTGGGGAGGGGGGCACAGCAGGCGTCAGCCGTCCCATATCTGCCCCCGGCTGCCAGCCAGGAGTCCTCCTCCACGGGCCCGGGGGGTGGGGGGCAGGCAGCACAGGGGCGTGGGGGGGAGGGGCGGGCAGCGAGGGGCCTTTTACCCTGCGTGGAGGAACAGAGACAGCCAGAGCCTGTAGAACTGATCTGGGACCTCGGGGTTGAGGAAGGGCAGCAGCCCACACACCTTGTCCAAGCAGTGCACCTGAGGGCAAGCACGGGGCGGTCAGTGCCAGTGACCCAGCTGGCCCCGATGCGGCGGGGCGGGGGGGTGTGCAGAGCCAGACACCTGCTGCAGGAGGGGAGGCATGAGGCCGGCTCCAGCACGCTGCCGTGCTCACCTGCTCACCCTCAGGGCCCCCGCAGGCCCTGCCTCACCTGGGAGCAGAGTGTTGCCTCTTCATGGAAATAGCCATGCATGAATTCACAGTACTCCCGGGTGGTGATCTCACAGCTGGGGGGACAGGGAGGCAAGGGGATACATCAGAGCCCCGAGTACCCCCGCCCACTGGCAGGAGGGGCGCCCCTCTGTGGGGACCGAGCTCTGGGGCAGGCTCCCCTTCATCCTGCTCACACCACGGGCGACCCCAGAGTGGGGGAGGGAGGACACTAGCCCGCGTGGCAGGTGGCAACAAGGAGCTGGCCTACCTGCCCTTGGTACCAATGCAGCAGGGGCGGCCCTTGATCTGGCAATCCATGTGTAGGAAGCCGGTTCGGTTACTCTTGGCCTGCTCGGTGCAGATCTGCGGGGGGGACGACACGCCCACACTGGGTTGGGCCCCTGCAGCGGCAGGCACCCGCACCCTCTCCCTGCCCTTCCTAGACCATTCTCCACCCCAGACACTCACTGGCCACTTGGTGATGTCGTCAGGCCAGATGTGGGCGCCGCTCGAGGCTGGCTCCTCACAGGTTCTGGAGGCAGAGGTCAGAGGGGGCAAAATGAGGAGCTGTGCGCCGCCCCCAGCCTGCCACACCCACCTGCTGACATCCCCAGGGGGAAGCACAGACGGGACACTCAATCCCATCTTCTCACAGCCCAGCTGGGCCACCCTGAGACTGGACCTGGGGTCTTGGTGGCACACTGCCCCTGATGTCCGCTTCTGGCCCAGATCAGACTTGTCCATGGGGGGCCCCGTATCATCCTGCCACTTGACAAAAGTGGCCAAAGTCTCCTGGAGGATAGAGGAGGGTTGGTTGCGACTAGGATAACACCATCCCCATTAGAGTCGGCAAGGGACCCTCTGGACTGGGGCTCTTCCCCTGGTCTCCAGGGCTCAGGCTCATCTCCCAGACCTCCACCCCTGGCTGACGTTCCCAAGACCTGGGAACATCACTTCCTTCACTTCTCCGGGGCTGCGGAGATTCGCACTCTCCCTGTATGGGGCCAGGAAGGAGGGAGGGGATGCGGTCACTGTGCTTGAGGGCCCCTCCCCTGTGCTGGGGCAAGTGAAGATGGTGCACAGGACCAGAGTGGGGCTGGCAGGGGCTAGGGGGCCTGGCCCCACCGAGCAGTCCTTCCGCTGGGTCTGGATGCAGCCCGAGTGGTCGTTTTGGACACAGCAGCCCGAGTCCCGCTCTAGGTCTCGCTCCCGAAGCACCAGCTGCTCGATCTGCTGGTCCTTCCGGATACAGGGGGAGAACTTGGCTCCTAGGTGGATCAAATCAATCTGGGGGAGGGGAAAGAGCGAGCCTGGGTCCAGAGCTGGCCACTCTGTTGAGTTTCCCCTGAAGGTCCCCTGATAAGAGGGGCTCCCGGGCCAGCTGACCCCTGCCCAGCTGGGGGCGACAGGGCCCCAGGGTTCCCTGCTGAGATGCTGTCCCATCCCCCTGGGCCCCTCACCGAGCTGGGGCCGATCCAGAAGTTCTCTTGCTGGATGTACTTCACGCTCTCATACACACCTTTGTTCCTCAGCACCTGGTGCAGGGACAGAGGGTAGGGGGTTCAGGGGTTTCCCATCCCAGGGTATGGCCCCCAGAGTGGGGCTGAGAGGTAAAGCTATGGTGAGCCCGGAGCACCTCCCGCATGGGCCAGGTTGTGGCCAAGGGAGGGACTCCGTGGCCGACGATGCTGATGCCTCTCAGGAGAGGCTGGGGCCCCCAGAGGGAAGCACCCCTTCCTTAGCCTGACTCACCAGCTGGGTGGTGACGTGCTGGGCAAAGCCCGTGGGTGCGATACCATACGTGCAAATCACCAGCAGTGTGATGATGATATGGACGAAGGTCAGCCAGTAGGTGAAGTAGGGCCTGGGGACAGAGGCCCTGGGTCAGCCCAGCTGAACCCACATCCCAACCCTCGCCTGCTGAGCCCAGCCCCCATCAGCTCTCACTTGCTCTCTCCCCTCCCCTTCTATTCCCCTCCAACTCGTCCTTCACCACAGTGACTTTGTAAATGCACCCTCACAGATCTCTCTCGCAGCTTACGCCCTGAGACAGCTTCCCGCTCCGCTTGCAATGAAGTCTAATGTCACCCCCTCCTGAGGGCCTTAATGCGCCCACCCACCTTCTCTTCTTACAGCTCCTAGAACAAACCATGATCCCTGCAGCCCCAGGGCCTTTGCACACGGCATTTCCTTTGCCAGAGACGCTCTTCACATCTCTCTCTGCCCGGCTAACTCCTGCTCGTGCTGACCGCAGCCCTCCCCACCAGCCATCCACTCACTCTCTGTCCTCCTGGGACACTTGCTACGCTTGTTATTCGTTTTTTGATTTTGGGTTTGATGTCGATCGGGTCGCCGCCTGGGGCACGCTGTGAGAAGTGCCCCTCCCCAGTCCTCTGGTTTCCCCCCACGGTCCCGTCACTCATAGAGCTTCTAACTGTCCCTCGGGCCCACCCTGCCCGCCCTGTCCCTCCTGTTGGAGCTGTTCCAGGGCCTGAGTGCTGGCGCTCAAGGAATGCCTGTTGACCGCTGTTGGGAGCTGGGCTAAGGACACGGGCCAAGAGAGCCGGGAGGGTGAAGAGGCAGCAAGCGCCGAGGACCCTTCCCAGGCGACACGCATGCGCGTGGGGCCACCCTGAGGACTTGTCCCCGCTCTCCTCTCCCACACGGGCTGCTCACCAAACGCCCGCACAATAAAGGGGGTGCCGCAGGAGAGGGGCCTGGGGGTCTGGCTCCCGGCCCTTCTCCCCTCTGCCTCCAGCCGAGGGGCGCCCGAGAGGCGCGGCAGCCTCACCGGTGGCCGTCGAAGCTCTCCAGCTGGCGCTGCACTGTGCTGCTGATGCTGCAGCGGTAACTGCGGTTCAGCCAGGTGCCCACCACGCCCAGGCCGTAGTGCCGCTTCTGCCGGTCGAACGCGAAGTGCTTCACCTTGGAGGCGAGGCGCTTGCCGCGCCGGGCCGCCGTGACCGGGGCGCGGCCGTGCTCCTTCCTGGTGGGGGACGGCCCTCAGCCCGCTGCCCACCCCCCCCACGCACCCCAGGACGGGGCTCGGGGCGGACTTGGCGGCCCGGGGGCCCTCCCCCGCCGTGGCGCCTCCCCGCACCCAGAGGAAGGGGGCCCAGAACGCACAGAGGGATCTGCGTCCCATCGGGGGAGACCGGGGAGGCCGAGCGCGGGATCCCCCGGAAGTAGCTGGCCGAGAGTGGGGGAGACTCAAACACGTCGTCGGGCATGGAGCTCATTTCTTCCTGGGGTGGGGTGGAGTGGGGGACACAGAAAAAGACAGTGTGAGGAGTCACTGTCCATACTGCTCCCAGCACCTCAATTCAAGGACAGAACAAAGCTAGACAGGCTCTCCGGGAGGGAAATGGAAGGCACGTGCCTGTCAGCCCTGACGGTGGCTTTCCCGGCTGGCACCCTGCCCTGCCAGGTCCCCAACAGGAAGACAGGAGCCCAGGAGTTCCACGAGGTGCCACGTCCCAGCCCACCAGTGGGCCTTTGGATCCCTCAGGGGCTCCTGGCAGAGCATGATCAGGGCCGGTTCTCCTCTCCTAATTCCCAGGCCACCCCGTACCCAGTCCCTGAGGCCCACACCCCATGCTTGCCTTACTAAAAAACGAGGAGTCAAATGTGTCTGCTCCGTCCACCACGTCCTCGTCCAGGAAGCTGGGGTAGGCGAAGCTACGTTTGACCACACGGCACCGCTGTCCCGTGGCATCCAGCACTGAGCGCCCCTGGAGAGGGCAGGGCAGGGCCCGGGCGTCAGGCCCAGGTCAGGTGCCTCTACCCCCCGCCCCCTCCAAAGGAGCTGTCAAGCCCCTCCTCCCGGGGCAGCACCTCGGGAGATGGGACCCTGCCCAGAGCACGGAGCGTCTGCGGAAAAAGGCCAGAAAGCTTCCGTAGCCCCGAACCCGTGGCTCTTCTCAAGATTTTCGGTTATCCTCACCCTGCTGACCTCCTGCCCTCTGGCTGGGGCAGCTAGCTCCCCACCACTCGTTCCGCACCCTTACTCCCCAAACTCGGGCCATGTCCCCCAGCCGCAGCTTCCTGGCAGAGCACAGCAGGCCCCTGTCTGCCTCTTTGACCCCAATCTGCGGCTACTCCTCCTATAAGCACCCCTCACTAAAACCACATCAAACCATGCGCTCTTCCCCTGATGTGCCACGCCCCCTCTACCTCCAGGCCTTTGCATAGGCCCTTCCCTCTGCTGAGAATACTGTTCCTTGCCTTCCTTTCCTGGGAAGCTTTTCCTTATTTTTCTGGGCTCAGCCCAAGTGCCTGTCCTGACATCAGCCCCTCTCCTGCGTGGGCCCCAGCACTCATCACACTGAGTGGTGACATCGGCCCGCCCAGGGCTGGGAGCCCTTCCAGAGCAGTGACACTGGTTCGTTTCACTCTGCAGTCCCCGGGCCCCACACAACACAGGGGCTGAGTGAACTCGGGTGAAGCGTGGTGCCTGCACGTGTCCTACTTTCCCAGCTCGTGTCAGTGCAGAAACCGGCTTCCCAAACTATGGAGAACTGGGGCTGGAAGGACGTGGGCCGGGCTCCTGAGCTGCAGGGCCCCCCTCTCTGCCAGGGAACCCGGTGCATCCACCGCCCTCGGCACAGAAGGACGTACCTGGGTGAGCTCTCGAGGGGTGCTCTGGAGAGAGAGAGGGAGGGATGGCGCGGGCCGGGCAGAGGAGGGGAGGCGTCTTTACCTTGAGGAGGGCGGCGGCAGCCTGAAAGCTCATGTGGGCCACAGACATCCTCTTGCGGCGGGGCAGGTGGGAATAGCCGGAGCGGACGCTGGTGAAGGAGGTGAGGGACAGGACCCCTGGGGTCAGGGGTGGGTGCGGGGCGTGGGGCCTGTCCACCTCATCCGGGTGGCGGAACGCCCGTCCGCGGGCCAGGGGATCCACAATCTGGAGGGAGGGAAGGCGGGGTGAGCAGAGCCGACCGGGCCGGGGCTAAGTCACCTGCCGCCCCCCTGCCCCGGGGGAGCCCACCTTGGGCATCTTGCAGGGTTTCGGAGACTCGGTGCCCTGGAAGGAAGGCACCTCCTGGCTGGGGAGCTCCAGGTCGCGCTGGCATGAGGCCTTGAGGCGGCCGTAGCGCACGCTGCAGTGATGCAAGGTCCTGCGCTGCCAATGCTGTCGCTTCAGCTCCCAGTCGCCGCTGACCCCGAACCACTGGGCCGTGCCCCTGCGGAGCGCACACAGAGCCGTGGCCACGTGCCCACCGCCACAGGGAGCGCGCTCGGGCGGGGGTGACGGGAGGTGTGTGCAGGGGAGGGCACGCGGGGGTGACGGGAGGTGTGTGCAGGGGAGGGGACGGGAGGTTACAGCGCATGCGTGCACCCAGAGCAAGGGGCAGATCGGCTCCCCCTTTTGCCCCCCCGGGTCGGTACCCAGCGACCAGACCAGAGGGGAGGAACAGAGTCTGGGGCTGAAGCTGGGCTGGCCAGCGCCTCCTCCGCAGCCCCCGCTCCTTGACCTTGAACCCCCCAGCCTCCACACTGTGACTTTCTACAAGGCACACGTCCCCCTTGGGCCTCAAATCCCACCCCCCCCCGGGAACGTGCATGTTCCAGCCCTGCGGGGAGTGCTGCTCACAAAGGCCTGCCTACTCCTAGGAAGGGGACACAGGGCCAGGCCCAGCGGAAGTCCCCAGGGCTGCTGGGGGGGCGGGGACGGGAAGGGTGCTCACTTGCGAATGCTCTGGGACAGGGAGGCCTGGCGGCGGAAGCCAAGGCGCTTCTCCGAGCTGCCCTCCTGCCACCGTCCCCGTGGCTCCTGGAGGCTGACGCTCTTCACATAGGCTGGGTTCCTGGGCCTCTGCGGGAGGCAGGGCGGGAGGACGGGCTGGGACTTGGTGGAGCCCAGATCCCGGGCTCGCTCTTCCTTGGCTCCCTGCGCCAGAACCCTGAGAATACACCTCACCCCTAATGTACACGCCTGAGCTGCTTTCCTTCCGACTGTAAAGTCACCATCCTTCACACTCTTCAATGAACCCTAGCATGATTTCCCAGCTCCCTACACAGTGCTCCCCCCCACCCCACCCCCCGCCCTCTGTACGCAAAACAGCCCCCGGGGTGAGTGGGTAGCACCAACACAGGACCCCTTTTATGCCCCAGGACACTCTCAATGAGCTCTTTATGGAGCGCTGGTCCAGCCTGTCTTCATTCCCATTCTCCAGTGCTGTCGCTTCACTCAGATCAAGGGGTCAGGCTGCTGATGCCCAGCACGTGGGGTCTCTTCCCCCAAGTCTGACAGCCCCTCGGGGGACCCCGGGCGGGAAATGCAAATAGCCGGTCCTGGTGGAACCGGGGAGCCTCTCTCGAGGACTGTGCTTCTGGTCTCCCCGTCCACCGACCACCCCGAGACGCGGCTCCTGCGCTCAGGGCCCACTCCCTGTGACATGTGGGGCCGGGGAAGAGGGGGTGCAGGCCCAAGTGAGGGGTGACACAGGCAGTGGGGGCCTCCCCTGCCCAAACGGTGTCGTGTGCACAGCTGTCGCTCCCCAGCGAGCCTCCAGGCTTGCCCCCTTACCTGGGGCAGCATGCTGGTCTGCTCGCCAGGGGCCGGGGTCTCGGGTGGCGGGATGGTGATGGACAGGTTGGGCGGCTTCCTGCTCTGCAAGCGGCTGCTGGACACAGAGGAGACGCTCTCGCCATTCTTGTCAGCGGAGGCCATGGTGGGCCAGGGGCAGGGTGGCTGGAATGGGAACGGGGAGAGGGGGCATGAGTGTGTCGACAGGTGGCAAGACAGGAAGGGACCTGGGGGCCCTGGTGCCAGGGCGGGCGGCCCGGGCTGAGAACAACCTGCAGGAAGTCAGTCAAGCCTAACGCTGGGTTCCAAACCACTCGGCAGAGACTGAATCTGAACTGGGTGGGGTAAGGCAAGTAGGTCTAGTTCTGTCTTTTGTTTGCAATCCAGGCCCACAGGGGCCTGGGGAATACCCACCTTTCCACCTCCTTCCATTGGTGGTCTCTCAGCTTCAGGCAAGGACCACACCCAGAGAGGAGCCGGAGGGCAAAGGACAGAGCTGCAGTGACCTTGGCCGCCTTGTCAGCCTGGTCAAGGTAGGCCAGGGGTCAGAGGGCAGCTTCTTTGACCTTGGGGCAGGGCTTGGGGGAGGACAAGGCGGCTCCAGGGTAACCCAGTGCCCTAGCCGCAAACAAGAGGTCCACAGTCGTGCAGGCAGCAGGTGGTGCTCCTAGTAGCCGTCCCTGGGTTTCTAGGGAGGAAGCGGTTGGTGGCTCAGCCTCATTACCAGACAGATGGGAAAGCCACCATGCTGGTTCCTGTCCCCTGGGCTGCCTGGTTCCTTTTTCAAAGGTAACTGAAACGGCCACCTGTTTGGTACTTTTTTCTTTTCATGGACGAAAAATGTTAATCCCAATGATAAAAGTGGCATATACTCATTGTAAAAACACAAAAAAGACTCCAGTGATTATAAAGCAGAGAGTGAACTCAAAGTCTGCCTGTCACCCTGTCTTCCAGGTAAGAGCCTCTTTGCACGTGGAAAAGGATACATGTACTTAAAATTTTACACGCTCACACCATATCTTTTCATCCGTAGGGTGCACATCAATGCATACAGACAGATCTACCTTATCTTTTTTTATTTTAAGTAGGCTCCACATCCAGCGTGGAGCCCAACGTGGGGCCTGAACTCACGACCCTGACTGAGATCAAGACCTGAGCCGAGGTCAAGAGGCGGATGCCCAACCGACTGAGCCGCCCAGGCGCCCCTACCTTATCTTTCTTGATGACTGCAAAGATTTCCTTGAGTGGAATGCACCAAGATTTAATTAATGCCAGACTGATGGCTGTTTAGGGTGTTTTCAGGGACTCCTGTCCAGTGTTAACTGACACCCTTGCCTAGACCATGTGCATGTCCCAGCGCTATCCCAAGACAAACTTCTAGAAGTGGAACTGCTGGGTTGAAGAGTAAGTACATCTTGATTTCAGTGGATCCTGTGAAATGGCCCTGCCAAGAGGAGGTGGCAATTTACCCCCCCCTCCCCGCCCCTGCCCAAATCTGGGGCTTGTCCACACTTGCTCGGCGCCCCCCCCACCGACTCCCACTTCCCCTCTGATTCCACCAGAATCAACACTCTGCCTGTTCTATTCTCCTCCCTTCCTCACTCACTCTGCTCTTTCTCTGCCTAAAATCCTCTCCCTACTTCCCAAAGCTGCTGGAGCAAGTTCGGTTTCTCTTCCCCTAGCATAAGGCCAGGGACTCCGCATCTGTCTGCTGACACAGTGCTGACCCCGGGTGTGCGTAGACCTGTGGCAAGTCACACGGGAGCCCTCCAGGTAAGGGCGCGAGGGACCAACGTGGGATGGAAGGGTGACACAGGGGGCGCCTGTGGCCCGAGGCCATCGGTCCCCTCCACCCCAGCCCCCGGGAGCCACCTCTCTCACCTGAGGGATCAGAGTGGCCTCCTGACCACTCCACCTGCTGCGCCTTGAGCCCCCACCCTCGTGACCATCTGCCACGCAGCAAAGACATCACCTTTTAAAAGCACCAATCGCACCACGTCACTCCCTGCTCAACACTGTCCCAGGATTTCCCGTTCTCACTTAATGTCCACACTTCTCACTGGGGCCTCTGGGCCCCGAGTGGCTTTGTGTCCTCCTTGCCCCTGACTCGGCCACTCTAGGCCCCTCACTGTCTAGCACCTGCTAAGCTCTGCTAGGAGGTGCTGAGGGGTCATGGTCAAAAGCACACTGCAGCTGGGTGGTCTGGCCTTGACCTGCACTTGACCACGAGTCACCCACATCCTCACCTTGTAACGGGGGAAAGACCTCCCCCAAGAGAGGTGCCCTGAGCATTAAATGAGAGCATGCGTGATGCACACTTGGGCAGTGTGTGCACACAGAAACTTGTTCTAGAATGTTCACAGTAGCATGTTCATGAGAACCAAAAGGTGGCAACAACCCAAAGGCCCATCGACAGACCAACGGAGAAACAAAATGTGTTCCATCCACATGATGGGATTACGAGGCAGCCACAAACAGGAGTGAAACACTGACGTGGGGTCCAGCGTGGCTGAACCTTAAGGATGTTATGCGAAGCGAAAGAAGCCAGACACAAAAGACCACATGTTCTAGGAGTCCATTCATACGGAAGTCTGAGACAGGCAGGGGGTTGGGGGGACAGCAGCTAAAGGGTGGGTCTCATTCTGAAGTGATGGAAACGTTCTGAAGCTGCCCGTGCTGACGGTTGCACAGACCTGTGCATATACCAAAAACCACTGAATTGTACGCTTTAAATGGATATAGTTTATGTGGAGTAAATGTGAATTATAGCTCCATGAAGCTGTTAAAAAAGTCTCAGGCAGGTGCGCCATAAACATCAGGCCTCTGCCTGTGTTCGTCTCTCCATCCCCGTATCAGATCATCACACGGTGGAGCAGGTAGCTCCTTCCTATCATTCTGGTTCCAGCTTGGGTGCCACCTCCTCCAAGGAGCCCTCCCTGACTGCCCGAAGCAGCTTCCCTGCTCCTGCTACAAGTTTCTCCATCGCTTTACCCTGGTCATCTTCCTCTCTCTGCCTTAGTCACTGCTGCATCTCCACCTCCAGCGGAGTACTGGCCCACAAGGTAGTATCAGTACATATCGGATGAAAAACAAGCAAGCAAGCAAAGCAGCTTGTGCCTTGGGTCCAGCCCACCCGGCTACCTGGCGTCCTACCTTCCGAGTTTGGACTGAGCTCACTGCTTCCTGGGTCTTGTGGCAGAGGTCTTCAGAGCATGTTCTTTTTTTTTTTTTTTTAAAGATTTTTATTTATTTGACAGAGAGAGATACAGCGAGAGAGGGAACA